ATGAAATATTCAATCTATTTGTAGAAAAGACTGCATGTTAGAAAACATTACTTAAAAATATCTTTGAGAAAGAAAGGTGCATCAATGAATAATAGCATGATACAATTCATGGTTTCAGCCTGTTGAGAAGAGGAGCTGTAGGGTGAGCTTTGAGAGTGATGGAAATATGTGCAGGAGAAAGAACCAAAATTTTAATGCTAGTAATCTAACCTAATAATTCCCTGATCCTCAGGATTTGTGAGCAGAAGGTTTTCCCATCATTAGACCTTTTAATCACTAGACATCATTAGATCTTTTAATGGAAGTGACAGGGATTAGAAAAAAGAGCCGTGTGAAATCAAGTATATGTGCTGCCGCTAAGCCGCAGCCTCTCCTTGGGTTTTGTGGGTTGTATTTCACCTTTTGTTCCATCTTATTTTGTTTTTTATTTCATTACTAAAAAGAAAGTCATCATAACAATGCAATGTTCCTACATAAAAAGAGCATCAATATTAATAAGAGGAAAATAACTTTATTGAAATTCCACTCCTGAGCCTTTTCTGTGGAAGTTTGATGCAATTATATAAGAATGCCACTTCATAAGCTATTAAATTTGGAAAACTAGCAACCTTTAAGTGAATCTTAACTGCTAAATAACATATCTTTGTATCATTTTTTATTTTACTGCCATCAAGGCAGCATTGACTAGATAATGATTTCCTAGGATGTTTTTGCCATGTATTTGATAATAACTTCCTCTTCTATCTATAGACATACAGTATTCTCTAATTTCGGAGTGGTCTGCAGTTAGTAATACCGTTGCTTTTCAAAACAATTTATAAGGCAATTTCTGAATTTATTTTTCAAAACAAAAAATATCCACATATAAAACTCATGCAGCATTTTCAAGGGAACCATTTTTTTTTTATTATTCAACACCAAATAGCACAGCTTTAAAAAATTACACAACATGTAAAGGCACACTTGATTTGGGAGGAGGATTATGGTAGTTGTACAATTGTCAATCAACCAGAATAAAATAATTGGTCCTTAGTCACCTATTCAGTAAACAAATGCAAAAATACAAAGTATAGTAATGTATTTGTTTGTTAAATTTATTTTCTATCTGTCTCACTGTGGGGCCACTCTAGATACCTTACAATAATAAAAGGGAAGAAAATGAAAGGAGTGTAAACAGAACAGAAGTAAAATAACAACAGCAGCAATAATAATAATAATAATAATAATAATAATAATAATAATAATAATAA